CAGGTCGCGACCAATTTGGGTCGCGACCAGAGTCGCAGAACGAATTAAGTTCGTGAACCGAGGTACCACTGTATTTTAATCCTATACAGTGGTGTGCATTATTGCATGACAAGAGGTATGTAAATATTTTAAATTTGTTTTAAAATAAATGTACATTTATTCAGATGTTACCATAAATTCTGTTATTTCAAAACAGAATAAAACAAGTCTGAAGTCCTTTTCCCAGCAGCGGAAGCGAGTAGTTCATAAAACTGCTTACTGAAGCTCATTCTCATAATGCTAAACTATGATTTACTGTTATGGTTGAACATAGCCATTCTGTGACATTTGATAACAGTAAAGAATAAAGCATCAATGTTCAAAGTAGCTATAAACACAGCCGTTCTTTGGATTAAGCTCAAGTCATAAAGCTTGTGCCAGAAAAAAAAAAAGCTTTATACAACAGATTATATGAATAGATTCAACATGTTTTACAAACAGTTCCAGCTGTTTAAAGATAGGGAAAAGAGAGAAAAAATGCTCATGTGCATCAGAAAAAAATTCAAACTGAAAATTACTGCTTGTAAACTAAACAGCATGTTACCTCATTCTGTTGTCCAACCCCGTTAATGGCTTGCTGCTGATTCTGTTCTAGCCACTGTGGTGCACCTCCATGGACAATTTGTTCACGTAACCATACAAGACTGATAAACGCACAGAGCGTGCATGTCACAACAAAACAACCTTGCAAACAGTCTGCCAGTAAATTCTCTCTGTTGAAGAGATAACCAAAACATTATACAACAGTTGACATAACTGCCATTGGAATCACTGCTATTGATTGCCTCTGTTATTAGCCACCCACAAGGAGAAAATCACAATTTGGAATCTTGTAATTATTTCAGCTTAAATCTATTCTATCCATTTCCTTACAAATTGGTTTGCAACTGCATAAAACTCATTATTAGCAAGTTTCCCTCCCAAATCTTATTCCATTTTCATTTATTTATTTATATATCAAATTTATATCACTGCCCAGCTCCCCCACAAGGAGGGACTCTGGGCGGTTCACAACAAAACAATTTAAAATCAATAAAAACATAAATAATACAGTATAAAATACAATTATTAAATATAGTAAAATCCAAGCGATGGCGATATTATTTCAGCCTGTGAT